GTATATTTAAAAATATATATTTTGGGAAGGATTGCTCAGCAAAACCCCCACGACAGAACCATACCACAAAAACCCCCCAAACTTCCTGCATTTGATAACTGGTGATATCTCATCCTATTATAACGATTTAGTCTATTTCTTAATTTTTCTCAAATTATACATAGAATCAGTATGTTGTAGTGATGTAAAACTTAGTCTGTGTCACCAGGCTGCATAAGTTCAATTCCTAGCTCTACCATATACCAGCTGTATAATCACAGGCCAAGTGCTTAACTTCTGTGTCTCAGTTACTCCTTCTGTAAAATGGAAATCATAGTAGTACCTAACTCATAGAGTCATTGTGAGGATCAAGTGAGTGAAAAAAGTAAAACCCTAATAATAATGCCTGGCACGTAATTGCTGTGTATATGGTTACTTATTATTATTTTTAAAATAATTCTACAGTATTTCTATTGATTGATTGATTGATTGATTGTCTGTGTTGGGTCTTCGTTTCTGTGCGTGGGCTTTCTCTAGTTGCGGCAAGTGGGGGCCACTCTTCATCGCGGTGCTCGGGCCTCTCACTGTCGTGGCCTCTCTTGTTGCGGAGCACAAGCTCCAGTCGCGCAGGCTCAGCAGTTGTGGCTCACGGGCCTAGTTGCTCCGCAGCATGTGGGATCTTCCCAGACCAGGGCTCGAACCCATGTCCCCTGCACCGGCAGGCAGACTCTCAACCACTGCGCCACCAGGGAAGCCCCTTATTATTTTTTAAGTCAAGTTTATTGAGGTATGATTTGGGGCGTAATTTACATGCAGTAAAATTCACCCTTTATAACGTACAGTTCTGTGAGTTTTGACAAGAGCATATGGTCATATAACCACCACCACAGTCAAGATATAGAACATTTCTATCATCCTCAAAAGCTCTCATGTTCTCTGTGGTCATTCCTCCCCACCACATCTCCAGACACTGACCATCACTGATCTGTTTTCTGACCATATACTTTTGCTTTTGCAGAACATCATGTAAATGGAATCATGCCCTATGTAGACTTCTGAGTCTTTCTTCTCTCACTTAGCACAGGGATTGGCAAACTTTTCTCTAAAGGGCCCGGCAGTACATGTTTTAGGCTTGCAGACCATACCTTCTCTGTTGCAACTACTCCTCTCTGCTACTGCAGTCGTGTACTAGGCATGAATGATTGGGTGTGGCTGTGTTGCAATAAAACTTTATTAAAATAGGTAGCAGCCAGTTTTGGGTGGAAAGCCATAATTTTTCAACCTGTGACTTAGCATGATGCTTTTGAGATCCATTCATGTTGTTGTGACTATCAGTAATTTGTTCTTTTTATTGCCAATTATTATTCCAGTGCGTGGACGCACGAGAGTTTGTTTAGTCATTCACCAGTTGAAGGATGTTCGAGTTTTTAATAATTTTTGGCAATTATAAATAAAGCCACTGTAAATATTTGCCTACAGGTTTTTGTGTGAACACAGGTTTTGATTTCTCTTGAGTAAATCACCTGGGGGGCGGCACTGTATGGTAAGTGTGTGTTCACCTTTATTAGAAACTCTCAAATTGTTTTCCAAAATGGCTGGATTATTTTGCATTTCCATCAGCAATATAAGAGAGTTCCAATTGTGTTGTATCACCACCAGCACTTGGTATTGTCCATTTCTTTGTTAGATTTAAGCTACTCTGAAAAACTATGACGCATCTTAGAAACTAAAGATGCTTACCTTTATGTTGTATTAGGTCAAAAGCTCTTGAAGGGTTTTACACGTGGAAATGACATTATTTGGGTTTTTACATGATTACCCCAGCTTCAGTATGGAGAATGACTTGGAAGAACGAATGGTAACTGTGTGAAGACCTGTAGGAGGATATTATTTTAATATAGAGGAAAGGGAAGATACCTGGACTTGAAAGGCAGTGAAGATGATATGACTAGATGTGAGAATTTTTTTAGGTGGTGGAATTTATAGAACTCAATGACTGACCAGATAGGAGACTTAAGAGAGTGACACAAGCAACTAGATATATAATGGTACCTTCACTGAAATGAGGAAAATTTATAGGGAAAAAGGTTTGGGGAGATAAAGTTATCAGTAGAATTTTGAGATAATGTGAGACATCGAAATGAAGTAGGAAGTTTGATATCCAGGTTCTGGAATAGGGGAGCATAATTGAGGGTCAGGGTGGTATGAAAGATATCTGATAATATGGGGGAAGATGATGTTCCCTAGAGAGAGTTTTTAGTCATCTGAGAAGAGTGAATAGGACAGACTCAAGAGGAACCTCAGTGATTAATGTTGGACAGCAGACAAACATCCAAAGGAAACTAGAGAGTGAGTTCAAGAGGCTGGAGGGAGAGAGAGAGAGACAGAGACAGAGACAGAGAGAGAGAGAGGTCGTCATTTCAGACTGACATCTTCCAGATGCTGAGGTGAGTGAATGTGCTGAGATGACAACTGAAATGAAGGATGAAAAAGGCTCACTGGGTTTGGCAGCATAGTGGACATTGGTCAGTGTTGGTGGTCTGGTCATGGTGGTGGTGCTGGTGTATGTGAAAATCCATATTAAACTTGAGTTGGGGAGTGAATAGGAGGTGAGGCAGTAGAAAAGCAAGGGTATACAGTTACTTCAAGAATTTTCAGGCTGATTGTTAGAAACATATGTAAGAGACATTTTTTACTGTTTGTTAGGATGAGACAGGTTAGAGCGTACCGATGAGAAGTATGAGGCAGGGGATGAGGGCAGGAGAAACAGCATAGTCAGTGGAGAGATGCACAAAAGGCATGAGAAATGCCCATCAGATCTGGTGTACTTGCTGAAGAAGAGGTTCTGCTGAGTTTAATCTCCATGGTTGCAACCTGTGAGCAGAGTAGAATGGGGTCTGTTAGTATTGCCAAGTTCTAATGAACTCTACCATAGTACCGTCCTTACATTTATTTTCAACTATTTCTAGAGAACTTACCAAGCAGCAAATGTCAGCACAATTCTTTTGATGTGTGAAAATGCTCTGGCGTTTAGTCACTTGTCAGTCTCATGTTCAAGTCTTATCCATCTGTCATGGCCCAGTTGAAAGCCTCAGATGAAAGACTCTCCCTCTCTAATCTGAATGGTCATAGCTTGGTGCTTTTTTTTTTTTCCTCTATTTTGGCATTTGTTCTTGTATGTGTTTACCGTGTGTGTGTGTGTGTGTGTTTGTGTGTGTGTGTGTGTGTGTGTGGTTTTTTTCATTCTTCTCCTTAGATGATGGAAAACAAAGACCATGACTGAAAGGCGTCTTATATTCTCCACAGCACCTAGCCAGTTACATTTATTTAGCTTGTTACCTTAAATGCATGTAAATATGAACATGGGGAAATGGTTATTAGCAGACAATTAGGAGGAGTTATATAAGGAAGAGCAAGATTTTTGTGGTTTGGAATCTGAATTAATAGCCTGAAAAATTATGGTACCAGATTATAACGTTTTGTATTTATGATACTTAGTAAAATATGTTTTGAAAGTTTCCTGTTCCCTGCTATTAAGGAATCAAATTATTTAACAATAATACAACTCCTCTTTGGTGTAATTAATAGTTTACTACCTACTTTCATATCATTATTCCCTTACTGAGAGTAACCCAAAGTTAAAGAGATAGAGACATCACAGGGGTTTCATCCCACGTTGCAAGTGAAGAAACCAAAGCCAGAGAGATAATCGGTCAAAAATCCCTTTACTAGTAAACACAAGTGCTAAGATATAAGCCAGGACCCTCTGATTCTAATCCAGGTTTCTTTCAATGTGCTCTATGGCTTTTAAGTTTTTTTTTAAATAGAAATCCAATTATAAGGAGCACTTTGGTCTATTTTATTTAAATGAATAAAAAATCACTTATCAGAACAATCTCTTGGTCAGAGCTAAGACCACCTTTTCTGGAAGAAGCTTGGCCTTGTGGTTCAGAGCTTCATACATGGCCCTTCAGCAGAATGGGAAGAACGCTGCCCCTGTGGATTGTGCTGATGCTGTGATTTAAAGAAAAGAAAATAGAAGCCACATATCTGTGGAATACTAACTGTTAGAGCAACAGTGACCAGCACTATTCAGTATAGTGAACGAACCTGGTATTCGCATTTTGGAGAAAAAACAGATACATATCTGTTTTTCTAAGCTTTTGACTCTGACTTACTACTTTTGTTAATATAAAGACTAGCATCATTTTTGATTTAGGATGATAACTTATATTCTAATGAAAGAACTAGAAATAAGGAAGGTCATTATCATTTAGGGGACTATGGCTGGCTTTAATTATATTATTGTTAAAGCTTTCACAAATTGAAATAGCATGTATTAAATATATAAAATCTATAATTTTCTGTTAAAACGTTGAATGGGGAAGCCTCTGACTAAAATCTTTATATAATATTATTCCCATTGGCCAGAGCTGATTTTAAACTGGATAATAATGTCTGTTGTGAACAGATTCTTTTTAATTGTACTGACTTTAACTTATAGATCCCCAAATTCAAGAATATATTTTTGTCAGGGGAATTAAAGAATGAAGAACATATACTTGTAAGAAATTGCGGAAAGGCATAAAGTGCTTTTTCCTCCTCCTTTCCACACTTTTAAATGTTATCTGAATGAATGGCTGCTACCGGGTAAAACATTTCCTTATGTTCTCCTATAAATTGTCTTAGACAAGGTATTCGGGAATTGCTGTACAGTGTGGGAATTAATTGAACTTGGTTGTATATGAAACCAAAACGATCAGTTGAGATATTGAATCTGAAACCAGGTGTTCCACGGTTAAATTGTTATGATTCATGGAAAAAAAAAAACAAACCCACAGAATTTTAAGGACTTTTTTTTTCTCCAAGGCAGTTGGTTCTATCACTCACTCCATGTGGACTGTAGACTCCGGTCTAGCTCTGGTTATCCTTATCTCCATTACAAATCTTTTTTTAGTACATTGTAAAATGTATTAAATTGGCATTCCAGACAAACATTTGAAAATGGTCTTTTACCTCAGGTGAACCTGGCCTTTGTTGAAGCAGCAGACTACGTCTCAGAACCTGTTAACAGGGAGCCTCCTTCCAGAGAAGCTCAGATACTGACTTTGAAAAACACGTCTGAATTCGATGTACTTGTCATTGGAGGAGGAGCAACAGGAAGTGGCTGTGCCCTAGATGCAGTCACCAGAGGTGAGTCCTGGTGTGGGTGGATGTAACACAGGTAAAGGTTTCATCTGTCCTTCTGATATAAACACACAGTGTGCGCTCCGTGCTGGGAAGTCACGTTTCTGTTGCATTGCTTAATTTTCCATTCTTTGTGAAGCACCTTCCCGTTGTTAAAATGTAGGTACTTGCACAATTTTGAAATGAAGTATAGTTTGTCTTTTACACTGAAATGAATTTATTTAAAAAGAAAACTTTATATTCCTGTGAATTCATTGATTTGATGTTCTGGTTAGTTTTTTTTATACACAGTAAAGTACATTTATGTGAAATAAAATTATTTGTGTATCACCTAAAATCACATTTATGTCAGTGATTTATCTTTAATAAAAAGATTTATTAAAATGAATTAATCTATTAAAATAATTCTTTTTGTTTCTCTATTAAAATAATCTCTTCCAATGAAATACAGACTACAGTTTGGGAAACTCTAGTTCAGGTGACTGAATAATGGAAAAGACTTGCTAACCTGTAGTTCTGTCTCACTCTATTAGTCAGCTTCAGGAAAGATATTATGAGAAGTTCTTTCAAAATGGCAACAGGATATATAAAGAAAGAAATTTTAGTATGGAACACCAAGGCTCTTACATATGATATGTTTAATGATTTGCTTCTTTTGCCTGTGGCTATTAGTGTAGAGTTTGGAATCAAAGAAATCTGAGTACATATCATGGCTGAGCTGCTTTATCAAGATGTATGTATGTGCATACACACACACACGCACATACACTTAAGCAAGTTACTTAATTTCTCTAAGGTCCCTCATCTTTCAAATAAGGAAAGAAATATCTTCCGTTAATGATTGTTATGAGGATTAAATGCATAATCATGAAGGGGATTTAAAACAGTGCTTGTCACACAAAGTAGAAACTCAGTAAATTGTAGATAGTATTATAGCTGCCATTAATAACATGAAGGCAAAAGACTTTTAGAACCAATTGTCCCGGAGAAATAATCCTTTGTGATTATTTTTAGATATATCAAATTGGACTGGGTACTGCTGCAAGGAATTTTGACTCCAAATTATTTTAGTTACTATATAAGGTTCAGTATTCATTGCAGTTTCATATTCAGTGGTAATAGTTTATTACATGGAATAATTTTTCTCAGATTAAGTTACTACCACACCCACCCTAGACTTAGTTACTTTGCATATCTGGTAGATTTTAGTTTTACAGAAATGAAATAAATTTCGTGAGATTAGGCACACATAAGCCAAAAAGTACACTAGATTTACTGTGATTGCACAGGACCCCCACTTGAGTTTTGATGCATGTAGACATCACAGCCTAGGTCCTTTCTGTCAATTCCAAATAATGGTAAATTCACAATAATAAGTCCTGGAACATACTCAGTTTCCTGGCACACCCTAATATTTATATAATTTTGTCTCCATCCATAGTTTATCATTTAAGCTGCATTATCCTGGGACATACTAAGTCAGATGGAAAGAAGAGTTGAAGTTACCTCAAGGTGTTTGAATTCAACACTCTTCCCTGGAGTCCTGGGAAAGAGAGTGTCAAGAGAAGACACAGGCAGTGTAATGGGAGGTCTCGTTTGGGACTGCCCCAGCTGTCCTGGGACTACCCCAGGGCTTAGAAGTTACCAGATGACAATTTTCTATGTCCAAGAGGATCGTTTCTCCAGTAGGGTTCAGAAAAATATTTCTTGCTATCTCCACTTATGTTCATGCTATGTACTGAAGTATACAGCAGTTCTTTTTCTTTCATTTCAACAAATATTGGCTGAGTGCCTGCTTTATGCATGGCAATATTCAAAGTACTACATGAGAATACAAAGATGTTTGATCCAGGCTCCACCCTTAGGTTGCTCCAAGTTCTGTAGTTCTGTAGTAGACTGAGTTACCCTATAGAGAATATGTGCCTTTCAGGAGGCTTGGGGGCATTGTTATATCTGCATAGAATGGTCTGGAGAAAGCAAGCTGCTATTTAGCACGGGTAGAATTTTAGTAGGCAAACATTGCTTGCTGGAAGTGTGCCAATCTGAGGGAGCATGTGAGAGGAACAGTGTGTGTGGGAAACAGCCCGTGTTTCAGTTGGGATCACCCAGGCTGTGCTGGGGAGGATATGAGAGGAGTGCAAAGGCAGGGCTGGGCCTGGGATACCGGGGAAAGGCCTTTGGACTTTACTGAACAGGCCCTCTGAGACAGTGAAGAGCATTTGTGATGAGGAAAGGATAGGCAATAAGGAAGAAGCAGGGGCTAAACTTTTAAGAGATCTAGAGACAAATAAAACAGAAAGGACGTAACTTGCTGGTGTAGTAGGATATGAATAAGGGAGGCAATATGTGCAAGAATTGTTTCTTCTTTCTTTTCTTTTTAAGATAGGAGCCATCTGAATATTTCTGTAGGCTCAGAGGAGAGCCTTAACATGCAAATAATAGAAGGCTGCATGTGGAACAAGCTCTCGGGAAAATACGCGGCATGGGATATCAAAGATGTATCTTAGCTTTGGCAGGGCAAGAAGAGACATTTCTCAGGGACGAATACAAAGTGTAAAGATTCTAAGGCATAAAAGAGGGAGTCTGTGTGACTCTGAAGAGCTATTCTTAAACACTCAAAAAGAAGTGAGATGTGCTACTTATGGATAGGAGTAGGGACTTGGATGTAGAAAAGATTTAGAGAATGTGATAGGAATAGGGGTTGCTTTGCTCTGGTTAGAAAAGGATATCTGTGTGTGTGTGTGTGTGTGTGTGTGTGTGTGTGTGTCCCCATGTGTGTCTAATATTGCTCAGAGTTGGGGCAGAGAAAATACACGATAGGGTAGAATCCCAAATTGAGAACCGACTAGGTATCAATGACAGAAGGAGAAAATGAGAAAAGATTCCATGAAGGCAAGAAATTGTTTAAATGGAAACTTAGGACTGGTAGGGGGAGGTAAGGGGAGTTGGAAAGCCAGCTTTCCCTCAAAGAGTTAGGACCGTGATTGCAGTAGCAAAAAGACAACTACTGATTAAGTGCCTTTTATTCCTTTTCTCCTTTTGAAAAGTCTCACCTATATTTGCTTTTGTGCACTTTTTAGATATCTTTTTAAAAACATAGATAAGATCATACTGTAGTCATTACTTTGCAGTGTGTTACTTTCAAATAACAGTGTAGTTAATCAATCTTTACATGTATATGGTATTCATTGTTTTTCATGGCTGAAAAATTCATCCCAAAGACGTTCTTGTTAATGACTCTTTAGGTGGTTTCCAGTTTTTTGTTTTGTTTCGTTCTGCTGTTTAAAATAATACTACTTGTGAGTCAACTGCTGAACCAGCTCTGGGAATATAAAGACTAATAAGATGTGGCCTTGCCCTCGAGGAGCTTATAGTTTATTAATATTTGCTGAACAAACATTTTTCCTTTGGGCAGTAAAGAATGTTACCTAGTACATTAGCAGACGATTGTGGGTGATGACCGTGATGATGATTTTGAAAAGATAAGAGTTTTCAGAGCCAGAATGTTGACAAGATTTTTAATACTTATAGTTAGTAACAGCTAAGAAAATGAAGTACTTTCAGTATCTCCTGGGATTTCAGTTGCTGTCTTTTAAAATAATTGACTGACTGTCTTATTTGATGTATACGGAGTTACGATTTATAAAAAGGATGGATAAACCATAGTTTGTATTTCCTTTATTATGCTGGTAGCCCTCTGAGGGTAGCATTTATAATTAAAATGTATAGAGATGCTGAAGTTAATCTATATTTATCCTTTTACTACAATTTCTGATCATATCAGTAGCCCTCTGAAGTGTGAAATAATCATGGGCATTTGGTTAATGAATTGTGCATTGTTGCTGTTCATTCATGGAATTTGCTCTTTTATTATACTTGATGCTTCACTTAACAACAAATTTTGCTTTCTCTGCATTTGATATGTTTTTACCAAATTATTCCTGACTGTATCCATTAATCTTTAGTCACATTTGACAAAAATAAATTACTGTGATCTTTTAAAGTTACCAGTAATAATTAGATTTTTCAGGACATCAAAGTTTTGGGGGAACTGCTAGATGTTAAAAGGCTCGTATAAAAATGTTTTCACAAGGTTTTTGATGAAATATTGTGCCCAAATGCAATTTTGGTAATGGATAAACAAAGACCATAGAAGGAAGAGAAAAAGTCATGAAGTTTTCATAATGAACATTTATTTGCATTCTTACCATCTGCATTTTCTTGGGAATCAGTTTTTCATTTGTTTCATTTGGGAATATTATTATATAAACATAATATGCACAGCTCTCCTCACGTTCTCCTGTAGGTCTCTAGGATCAATAGGAATTGCTTCTCTGGTTAAAACCTCTGTGGCCAGTCCCCAGCCTTGAAGCACGATGATATAGGAGGCACTTTGCCCCCAAAAGAGAGCTGGAATGAAGAGACTCTGATAAATATAGTCACTCCCTCAGGGGGCTTCAAGATGTTTTTTTCAGTTCTTTTTTGTTATTTTATGTGATTTACCTGTATGTATCAGGGGTCAATCAGTACAATTTTGGTTTAAAATCTTATTTATAAACTTAAACTTTATGGCTTCAAAATTCCAGAGAAGACTGCTTCTTGCTAGAAGAAAACATTAATTGTAGTTCTCTTGTTTAAAAATGTATATGTACTTCTAGTTTATGAATGGTGCCTGGCTAGTAATTCCTGAATTCTCACCACAGTTCCTTCGAGTCTAAGACAGTATAGCATAACGAGTAAGGACACAGGCTATGAAATGAGAACCAAGTGGGATCAGTCAGCTTCATCACTCACTAGGTCCATGACCTTCAGTAAGTGTTCTAACCTTACAGAGAGCCTCAAGGTTCTCAGACATAATGGAGGATAACAACAACACTTCTGCATAAATAAAGGTTTGTGAAAAGGAGCAGGTGTGTGCATTTTTAATTGCATTAAAAACTGCAGAAAAGGGAGAGCCATGGAAGATAGTGCATTTTGGGAATTACAGATCTCCACCCCCTTCTACC